TTTATTGTTATCAGATCTATAAATGTTGGTTCATCGGTGGTAGATGTAATTGTTGTTATTTCAAGGTAAGATTTAATGTTCAATACTTGCATATAGACTCTATTGGTTAACACTTTGGCCCCTAAGAGTGATTAGCATCTAATTTCTCCTCACAATATCACCCCTGAAATACACATTAAGCTCATGAGAATAAAGAAAATGATCACTACCTAAAAAGGGTCTTGGTTGTTAAACAAATTCTCCATGTCAGCACCTTAAGTAATGTATAGAGAACAGTATTGAGAATATGCATACTGATGTTAGGGTGCAAAGGAAGAAGGTCTTAGTTATTAAACAAATTCTCCTTGTCAGCACCTTAGGAAATGTATGGAGAATACACATACTGATGTTGGGGCGTGAAGGGTTAATAGAAGGAAATCAGTCAGAACTACCAACCAGACCAAATGAAACTAACACAAATACGTGTAATACCAGCAATCATAAGGATCAGATAAGCGTGGAAAAACGCTTCTTTAAAATGTGCGTCTTGGTATTTTCCTACATCTAGCTGGGGATGAGTCGACTACCCCTTTTTTTCTTTCAATTTTGAATCTTAATTAACCAAAAATATGGTGAAATTTTTTTTCTAGGTAGCTCTTTGTTGCTAATCTTGAAAATCTGATTTTCTGACCGCCATGCGCGCGCACGAGTTAAACGGACGAGTTCGACGTCAGCGTTGTGATGCACTACGTGATAATGAAGTTCCCATGGTGATAGAAAAAACTACTGAGACTCACGGCGAGGCGGGCCATCCGCGCAAACTGCCTGGTTTACAACTCTGCATTGCCTTGTCAGTGCATTGTAGGCAGTGCATACTATCGCACTGCTGAACGTCAAAATTTCGATGTTGCGGAAACTTTTTTTTGTCGCATTTTGTTCAACTCTCACTGCTATTTTTATTCCCTTTTACAATCCTTTTTAGATACCTTCCAGCGTTCTCAGAGTTTTCGTTATTTTCATTTTCAGCAAAGAGGGAAAAGACTATCAGCTGTTCCCTCCACGGGATGTGTGTGTATTTGATTGGGTTGCAAGTCTCAAGGTGAATTCCTACAGAAATACAATCAAACAAATCTTCTTACACTTTTACCGTGCGATTGTCCAGGCCATGATAGCTCGAGAAAGGCATCCAGACACAGTCCGCATGCTTCCTTTGTCACGATTTTAACTTTGGAAGATTATTTCATTCTGACAAACAGCCTTCCCAGTTTATTTGTTTTGATTTTATTTCTAACCAGGCTTTTGTTTTTGTTTTGTGTTTTCTAGGAAGCAACAAGATTGGCGAGTAAACAACATTCGGAGGCATCTTTTGAGCGTGGGGCAGGAGGTGGGAGTATCATGGGCAGGGTGAGAGATTTGACGCGTTTACTGATGTTCGTGCGTGAAAAGATGTCATTCGTCTTATCACGAGTGTGTGACTGAATTCCTGTTTCTTTGACTGGCTGGCTGACTGACTGACTTACTGACTGACTGACCGATGGGTGTCCTAGATGCCCTACTTGATATGTTGTCTATCTGCAGAGGTTGAATTGAAACTAAGGATTTTCCGTTCAAACTGCTTAAGAAGTTGTTAATCTTAGTTTTGGTCACAGATCGATAACATGGTGAGTTTTTTTTCTCTTTTCCTTTAGTTGCGGAACAGTTTGCGCCGAAAGAAAAAAGTGACTCGAGCCTTGTCAGATACTAGTAAAGGTTAGGATGATGTCTTTTAATTATAACGTTATTTCATTTTGTCGACTCCTATGTCTACTGCTGGTGACTAATTGTTTTTATCCTTCTTATACTCATGGATAGTTGGATCCAATGTAAACGGTTCTGCATCAAGTGACACAACCGGGGACCATGCTGAGGACCCCTCCTTGAAACTGGAGACAAAGTTGAAAACCCGCGTTCAGCGTTCCAAGTCCTTTCCACACGAAGAATCACAGATTGTCGAACTTAAACTAATGCCATCGTTTAATGAACAGGAAAAGGAACCGGCAGTGGAGGTATGCGTGAGTTTACATTGTTTCATTTTGTTGTGCCGTTCCTTTTGACCGTATGCCGCTAACTTGGATCTATTCCAGAGTGTTTCCCGTCAAATGGAATAATTTTTAATTAGATGTCTGGAGTGATCTAGGTTTGCACTTGCCTGCTTTACTTTGCTCTGTGATTGGTTTACGAAATTCGAGCCACCACCAATCAGAAGCCGAACTGAAATCAATGTTTTCTTTGATTTTTTTTTCTCCTTTTCGCGGCAGGCAGAAGAAGCAGTTTCGTGTGACCCTGTATGCGAAAATAGTTGCGAAAAGATATCAGTACAAATACCACCTAAAGATGGTAAAATTGCAGAGAACGAAGAAGAACGAAAACGACAACCAATTGTAACTGAGTCCATTGAAGTGCAAACTGAACCAATTACAGTCGAAGAGCTGCTTTCGTTTCAACAACAGAAATTGTAAGTGTATCATAAATTTACTTTTACATAATATGTCAATCAAATCACGATGGGAAAATTTGTGCTGCGTCGCTGATAGCAATGGCCATGTTCTTGCTGTAGCATGAAAAAATTGAAGCCATGGACGAGTAAAAGATAGTACATAACAAGAAAAACAAACCTTTGACTTTGTTTTACAGAATGTTTTCTCCTTTTAGGGAAATCAATCATTAATGCTCAGAAGGCATGGCGATGTATCATGCATTTGTTTCGCAGTGACAATCGTTATTTTTCTAGTACTCTGCTTGAGCTTCTAATACGTTGTTTTAGTTGTCAGTACTCTGATGGGATTTTTATGAGAAAGAAAACTGACTTCAGGAAGAATTTATTGGTTATCAGCTTTATGTGTTTCATTTCCATTTAGAATAAAAGAACTTGAAATAGAGGTTTGCAAGCTGAAATGTGAAGTTATAAGTTTGATTCAAGGAAGTATAAAGATTCCTTTAAAAGGTCAGTTTTCCATTATTGTTATACGGTCATTACTTATGCTGCTAGCAGTTGTTTTTCTCATTGCCTGACTCACGTCACGAACCTCGTTATTCATGATGTGAAATGCATGTCGGTCTCACGGCCTTTTACAGACATCTTTATATTAAATAACGATTTCCCGCGAAATCGATTTAAGTTAACAGATGTGCTGGAGAGAAACAGTGAAATGATATAGGAAAAAGTGTTCCTGGACAGAGAAACTATCATTTGAGGAAGAATTGTTTAGTCATTTCGTAATTGCTGTACTCTCGCGGTTAAGGTTAGCAAGGTTCTAAGTTGCCAAGGACACCAAAGTTGCGCGCGCCCTTGGTAATTATCTCTTCTAGTTGGAGCCCTGACACGGTTACCATAGTTAGCTGTGTTATCAATTGCAAAATAATCAGTTACCTCTTTACATAGTTGTTGTGCTGGGGATTTGCTACTTCGGATTTCAATGTTTCTCCACATGTACAAGTTCTACCAGGCGTTTACCACTCCCTGTAGCTCGGCTGAGTTATGCACCCAAGTAATTTACACTGTTCGTTTGATTTCTTTTCTTTGTTAAAGATGACGACTTGGCTGACTGGCAACTTATAGAAGACATCAGGGTAAGTCAGTAAGTCAGTTCTGTGTGCATTAGATTAAAAAAGAAAAAGGACGGTAACAACAACGTGGGCAAAAAATATGTGCATGCTAGAGCTCTGACACCTGAAGCAATTTCATTTGAGTGTTAAAAGGAAGTCAAAGGGTGCATTTGGTTTTCCTCACTATGCTCCGTGATTGGCTCAGAAAATTCGCACCAATTTCTCAACCAATCAAATACAAAATTAAAACCTAAAAAACTCCGACTTGTTCACTCGCTTTCTCCCACGCCTTAGGTACTTTGCCTGTCTCAACGTTTAAGTTTTCATTGGCTATTGATGTTGTTAACCGATGTTCTAATGGGTTGTTGTGGTAACGTTGGTTGTGGTTTTTCGACAATCGGTTGAAAATCGCCCTAGAAGTACGGTTGAGCAACTGTTGAGCATTCACAGACGTAAGAAAAGCAGACGGTTTCTTTGCCAAACGAAGCAAAAAACCTATCATGATTTTTTTGGGTCAAAGAATAATTGTTGCGCCTTCACGCCGGGAATCCCATAGTGTTGCAAAGAACGCCTGATCGCTGGTTAAGCGGCCTGATCTAACACGTACATGTATTGTGGTTGGCTGTACCAGCGGGTAATATTATTTTATTTTGTGGCACAGTCAATCGTGATGATAAAGGGGTTAATACATATTGTTTTGCGCGTGTTTTTCTTTTTCAGTATAAGGACCGTATTTATCAGTTGTTGAGAGAGGCTCGGCTTTACAACCCAAGTTTGCCAAATTTTGACAGGTGAGTACTGCGTGGTAGCTTGATCACAGAACAACTGAGGTACATTACTTAAAAGTTAACTCTGAAGATAACTTGCAAAATGATTTGACTTAGCTCAGGCGATAACTTGAGAGTAGAGTCTGGGCCCTAATCAGGGGTGAGGTCTCTGAGAATAGGAAGGATTGAGTTATATTGAATTTCGTTGCGGGCTCTAGACACCATTTAATGCGGAACATTTGTTTTTGGAAACAACAAGCTACATTATTTGATTCAGCTTCTGGGTTCTCGTCAGGGTGAAGACTTCAAATAAATGGCAAGGGCTTCATTACAGAGGTCTTGGGAGATACTCAATCTTAACCTTGGGTGTGCATTGCTGGTCTCTGAGTAGCCTGAAGAACCAGTGTAATTTTTTTCGTTATACAGGCGAACGGAGACAAGCGCTGGGTGAGCGCGGGTTACGCGCGAGGGGAGGAGCTCATCCCCTCGCGCGTAACTCGCACTTCGTGCTCGCCTCGCGCTTGCCTCCCTTTGACTGAAAAACGCAGAAAAAGTGACGCCTGTTCTGCAGGCTAGGATTTGAGAGTCAAGCGAAGCTTTGTAACCATGGTTGCACCATTGTTTATTGAGATTTAATCTAACTATGACTTTTAGACTGTGTACTAAACCACGAGTAAGAAAAACAATTCGTTTTGGTTGGGATTGTTTTAGGCCTATAAACCCCGCTAAAACATTGTATTTACAGTTTGTCTGTAAAATGAACGGTTACGTGACAATTCTTCACTATTAGCATCAGAGTTTAATTCATGCAATTTCGTCTTTTGCGATGAGTCTATAGACGCTATAGTTCCGTCCCTTTTTTGTTTGGCCAGTTAAGTTTTTAGTTTCTTTGTAAACTTCGCCCGATGTTCCTGGCGTTTTTTGGCTAGTATTCTTCCGGAAGTTTTCTCACTTTTCGTCGGTGATTTTTTTTTCGGTTCGCGTTCGATTTTTTATTTCCTCACAGAAGGTGATGTACTAACAAAAGTTTGTGAGGTAAAAATGTTTTTAAACTCTCTGTAATTTATTCCACGTTTGAGATCGTCATTTCTTGCGGAGATGTTTGTGGAACCTTTGCAGTGCTCCTTCTTACGTAGAAAATGCTTTTCGTCACAAAGCTTCGAGCTGAGGGAAAAATTTTACGTTTGGAAGACGCCTTTGTATTCATGAGTAAGATTACAATGCAGATGGTGGTTTCAAGAAGGCGATTAAATGATTGGAAGATCCACCAAGGCCAGGGTTCGACATACTGCACATCTGAGTATACTCCAAAAACGCCAGCAGCCCCGTATATTGTCAGTACGCTTATCAAACCGCTCACAACTGCACACGCCGCAATGAGATACTGTAGGCGCCGCATGCTGTTGTCGACTGCACTTTTGCTGTTGATATTAGCTTTGATGTTTACGTGAATTTTCCAGCCAACACGGACATATCCCGCCGCTAGCAGAAACCCTAATGTTAGGAAATACAGTTGACACACCAGGAGGAGAACCTTAGCTTCTAGGAAGTAAACCACCACAAAATCTGTCACTATCACCAGGACCACGTGGAAAACTACCACGGGGATGATGAACTGTATGCGTTGAAATTTAGGCGGGGCAACGTTCATTTTTGTTGTGTCAATAAGTACCAGGAGTAGAAGGCTTAAAGCGGAAATGATGCATGGATGACCGAGAGAAAACAAGAGCTGAGATACGATGAGGTGAAATCGTTTGGTCGAGCCGTACGGGTCCACAAAAAGCGCCATCGCCCGAGTTGAACTGAAGATGAAGATAATGACGAGCAAGCTGGACTTAAGGGCGGACATTTTGCCCTTATCGACGTGCATTCTCAGTAGCTCGAGCGTTGGAATCAACGCGATGATTGTGAAGATCACGCCGAAGCCGTACGTGTGTAGTGGCCAGGCAGCTTGCCATTTTCCGAAAGCTTGATCCCAATCTGGCTCTGGTTCTGGCCAGGACATTTCAGGCTCTGCTGTAGGGTCTGTTGCTCCTGTGTATCCTGTATGCGATCCCTCGGGTTCTCCCGTGGGTTCTGCTCCGGGTTCTGCTTCGGGCTGTCCTTCGGGTGTTCCCTCAGAACCTGGTTCTCGTTTGCTTCTTTTGAGAAATTTGTATTTTCTGTGGTCATTTAAAAGAACTAGTTTATCATTTAGGTTCGCCTCACTTTGTGATTCTCCATTTTTTTTATCCATTTTCTTGCTGTCATCTTCGTACTCGCATTCAACATTCACACTCGAGTTTATGTCTCCACTATCAAGTGTTTCTCTCTGTTTCGCTGTGTGATGCGCTTGAATAGTTTCGTGACTTGTACTACTTTCATCAGCAGCTCTTACAGGAAATAGTTCCGTTTCCAAATCGTTCTTCGTCTGGCGAAGTTCTTTGTCGATGTAGATTCTCTTGCTGTTGATTCGTGCATTTGATTGTACATGCTTTGGATGGGCAACACGTCCGCTCTCAACAGAAATTTCCCACAGGCAAAAGATGAGAATCAAAATTATGGAACAGGTGCGCCTACAGCTTATCATCGCTGCCTTGAGTAGATATTCGCTGTATTCCCGTCAAGCTCCCTGAAAAGAACCGCACTTGAATTAGAAATTCGAAGATTTATCCCTTGAAGAAGGATTGTAACTCAAATAGTGCTCTAAGATTGTTTAAATGGAAATTTCGTTAGACAAATATAGACACAGTGGCCAACTCTCGATGGATATAGTCACTAAGACAATTGAGTTACGTTATGACAGCATTCATGCTTGCTACAACATTACCTTGAAGTGAACCTGTGTAAATATTAAGTTCTGCTGTATAAATGACAGCTAAAGATCAAATGACTGTGCCAGTGAGCTGCGTGTCATGATCATCTGAAAGTTATATTTCTATACTCAAAGAAAACTGGAATTTATTCCGGCTGCGCTGACCTCATCCAGTAATTTGAATAACTTGAATAACAAAGAACCCCTACTGCTTCATTGCAATTCAGCCTTGTTCTCTCATCGCAATAATTATAACTTGCTCAAGTAACCAGAAACAAATATGCATAACGATTAAAGCAGCACTATGCTTTTGAGGTTGCACTGATCTTTTATGCCGAAATTTGGAGACCAAGTCTGTCTCGTCAGCGCGTTCGTGAGATTCTTGAGTTTGGACTATACGCCCTTTATGATTAGAACATACTCCAAGCTGTGTTTTTTATCTGATTGGAAAAAAAAAATGGGAAACTTTAATTATTTGTCTACTCCGGTGTTTGTGAAGATTTAAATAGTGATATTGTTTGTCGCCTCACAGTTGTTAACCTGGCAAGCAGCTCACTCACTAATAAGGGGGGGTGTACACCACCTATTCTATCAATCCAACGGGTTATGATGTTTTTCGGGGTCCTAAGTCTTCGCAATAAATGTGAAAGACATGCCTGGATGGGGTCAACATTTCACACTCTCGTTAATTTTCTATTATGAACAGGGTGGCTTAATGAGGATTTTTGTCTTAAACAGGCTCGAAGTTTTATGGCCACAATGGCACAGCTCTACTAAGACCTCCCTGAGATGCCCTCCGGACATGCTTATCCACGGTCGATCGAGTGATTGACGTTTTGACAACCCGAGCGGACGTCATTATCTGAACCGCTTCTTATGATGACGTTCGTTGTGATTGTTACAACGTTAGTCACTGTCCTCGACAACAGTCTATTTTAGGTCTAAACTCATAGGAACGTTTTCACTCCACGATCTTCTGTTTTTCGTGAGTCTAAACCAGTATTACTTATCAAGGATTCATATAGTTCTTCAATCATTTGACCTTCTCTCCCTGGAAACCACTTGAAGCCTTTGTTATTCTTATCTTCGTCGAATGATAATGGATTTCATCTTGTGCCTCAAATCAACGAATCGTGCATAATTATTGATCATGAGCGAACTATTAATCATCTTTGGAACTTGTGTATAACTCATTATTTAACAATTATGAGCTGACAACTGAGGTTGAGTGAACTAATCGGAACACAAGAAAAGCAATATCCGAGGTGGAAAGTTTACTAGTTTAATCCCTTCAGTAATTTGCTGAATCGCTTTCTATTCGTAAACGTAATCTTTAAATCTTATTGGTCTTAAGAAGGCTTAACGTTAGAAACGTGAGCTTTAAAACCTAGTTACGGTGGTTAATTTACACTGTCAAGTCAGGTGTTAAAACTAAAGTACCTGAAAATCGGTTTTATTCCTTCAAAGTGCAAAATGGGTCTTACGAGGCTGTTTTTCTTAGTTGCAGTCATCGCTCTTTTCTTCTCAGTGTATGATATCGAGTGAATTTATGAACAGTTTGCTATGTATAATTTTAAGTATTGTAAAGTATCCGTAGATCTAAAGAAACCCGGTTCTATGAGTGCTTGTCAGGCTAACAGTTTTGTTAAAAGATAAGCAACAAACGCTACGATAGAGGGACCTAATGAGGAAAGTGAGTGCAGTTTAGAGAATCTGTTGGAAAAGCGTCCAGATTCTCTGACATTTCATATCATTGATGTTTTCCGAAAAAACTCTTTTTAATACCACAAAGGGTTTTTGTCTACCATTAATGTTTTTCAAGAATGGTAAATTGAGTTTTAGCGAAGAAGTTGAAAGAAGATAGTTCAATTGAGTGTCCTCAAAACGTTTTTCATAATACCAAGTTGCTAATTGGGAAAATTTTTCCGTTTCCCGCGACAAATCGTTTGAGGTGTTCCGTTTTATTCCGAGCTCCTTAAAATAAAGAGAACAACAGTGTGAGTTGGAGCCTCCTTGGCATCATAGCTTTTCTTTTGTCTTGTTTGCTATTGAGCAGAAATTGTCTTCTGTCTCGGGTAGAATGGCATTGTGCCTGCTAATTGACAGGGAACCCGCCATGAGAAATCGTTTGGGAAAATGTTTTGTACCAGATTTTGGATTGATAAATTATAAAGGAGAAGTGTGGAAGGAGAGAGAATAGCTTCTCTATCAAATGGAAGAAAGAAAGATAATGCCTTTGTTTTGCAATCTTGGCCACCATCATCGAGTTTTTCCAATCATCTTTGCGCAAGCCTCCAAGGAAAAAAACATACGTGTGTAACATACGATGTGGCCATGCAACATAACAACGGATTAGCATTTGTTTTTCTCAAAGACTAAATGTTTATCGGAAATAAAGATAAATACAAAAGCTTTAATGGTTTACTTTCGGTTTAGTTCAAGGTAGAGATCCAATCTAGCACTCTTACTGACTTCGTATTATTGTCGATTTTTTTTTTTAGTTTCCAAGTGCAACTTTCTAGTAGGTATTCCAGAGAATTATTTTCCTGTTAGATATGAGATTAGGGAAACTTGACTTTGCTCCATACCGTTGAATATTGAGTTCCTATGGCTTTGAATGAAAAAATTAAGAAGAGTATTTCCTCCATCAAGTCCCATCAAGGAGGGATCAAGTACAGAATAACATTTTCAAGACTTACCTCTATTGAAATCACTTAAGTGGGAATGGATTTCTACTAACGGAGGTTTCTGTTGCTCTACATTCGAGAGCTAAGCTACTGAATGGCTGAATTGCGACGTCAAGCAGAAGAGATGAATTAAAAAAGTAATTCTCGTAGGAGATTATTCAGCTCTTCACTTTCAACTATTTTTTTCCTTGCGTTGTTTTCATGATGACGATACAAAACAAATATGAACACCTGCACCGGATTTGACAGATGTGTATGAGAATTGTGCAAATACTGGGGATATTTTGCATGATAGCTTAAATGTTTTTGAACTTATAAATATTTTACGTTCAGTTTCTTTGTGAATTTTTCAAGAAGGAAAGAAATATTTCATGACGCGTGCCGACTTGCGCGTTCAATTTGAGCCTGGTCTCCGTAGATGATCTCTGAGATAGCAAGCTACTGAATGCGTTGTCGAAG